GGCTCCCCCAGGGTTTGGGGGGAACAGCAACCCCGGTGGTTCTGCTCTGTCCCAGTTCCTGCTGCTCGCTCTGATTAACAGATTCCATGGCACAGGCAGGGCTGGCTGTGGGAGGGCAGTGCCAGAACCTGTGTCCAGGGAACCTCCCAGGGAGCAAGGAATGCAAAGGGAAGGGTGGGAGCCCACGGGGGTGACCCTGGTAGGGGTGGGACTGGCCAAGGCAGAGCCACCCCAGTGAACCCACAGCTCTCCCAGGGCCCTGGTGCCTTTGTTTGGCTCATCCCCTTGGGGATGCTCTGAGGGAGGAGTCTGGGCTTTGGTTTCTGTGCCTGCATCCCAGGGCAGTAAAAAACTGAGCTGAGTGGCCCTGGGAGAGGTGCTGTGGCCCTGCCATGGTTTGGAGGTGGTTTGGGCAGCTGTGCAAGTGCAGGGAAGATGCCAGTGCAGATGGGCAGGGCCTGACAGTCCCACCTGGAGCAAGAGGTTGGGATTCAGGCAGGAGCAGTCTGGCAATTTTAGCATTTACAGACGCTGATGCTTCCATGGCTGTCACTGGTGGAGAGGAACTGAAGGGAGACAGTGCTATGGTCAGGTCAGGTTGCAGATTTGGCAAACTTGCTGTTCAGTGGCCACAGTTGGGCTCATTTGAAGGCAAAGGAACAAAGTCACGGAATTCTCTGTGTTTAGTTGTGTTTGTGAGCTCTGGGCTTGCTCAGACACTTGTATGGAGCCACTGCATCCCTGGGGATGCTTTCCAGGGGGTGGGTGAGGGGATGTGCTCCCCCTCTGTGCTGGAGATGGGCAGCCCTGGGGACAGGGGGAGCTGATCCCGTGGGATGGGCAGCCCTGGGGACAGGGGGAGCTGATCCCATGGGATGGACAGCCCTGGGGACAGGGGGAGCTGATCCCATGGGATGGACAGCCCTGGGGACAGGGGGAGCTGATCCCATGCATATTTAGAGGCTGCTGAGTGATTTCCTGCTGGGCCTGGGTTATGTTGGTTCATATTGGCTCCTGCTCTGGATGCCACTTCCATGACATCATTTGGCTCTTGAGAAGTGGAGGAGGTGAGACACTTCGGAGCGATTATCTAGTGCAAATAGCCCTTGGTAAATAGACTCAGTGAGTATTGACACTGAGACTGTTTCTCTTCCTAATTTCCTGCTCTGGGTGAGTTTGCCAAGTAGCCAAAAATAAAGGGGGAGGGGGGAAGGAAACCCAAACCCTGCAAACCCAACCTCAAACCAAGACTTCAGATTTCAAGTCAGGGCATAGAGCTACTGTCATCCAGGTAATTGAATTAGCAGTTAATGACATAACTTCCACGTGGGATCCTGGCCTAGGACTAATTTTAGGAAATGAGTCTATTTAACCTGTTTGTGTTAGCTGGGGATCTTCCTCCTGGGCTGGTGCTCTGATGTTCTCACCATTGCACTGTCAGACTGGTGGTCCCTGCCCTGCATGGAGCTGACTCTCCTGGGATAAATCCTCCTAGAGACACATTAAAACCGGTGCTTGTTGACACATCCTGTGGTTGCCTCTTACCCAAACGGCACCAGGAGGGATGAATTTCCCCAGTGAGGAGGGATGGACACGATCCCTTTAGGGCTGATGCCCCTGAGCTGGGAAAACCAGGAGTTCTCCCATCTGAGGAGCGCTTGGTGTGCTCCCTGTCCCCTTCCCAGTGCCACCAGCAGCTTTGCTTTGCTCCCTGTGAGGCCCACGCTGGCTGCAGCCACGTCCCAGGGCGAGCAGATGCTCTGCTCTCTCGGGCTGGCAAACTTTAACTAAGAGAGCCCGTTTTTTATTAACCTGAATTTCCTTCTGGCTCCGCCATTACCTCTGCACAAAAGAATCTGACCCCTCACTGTCACCATCACCTTCGTTTCTATTCCCACCCTCCCCTTTCCTGCTGTTTCTCTGAGGTTTGGGTGAAACTCTGCAGAACTTTGCCGTGTCCAAGCCATCCCTTGGCCGTGTCCCTGCTCCCCCCTGCCCTTGTCAGGACTCCTGAGGGAGCCTTTGGGCTGGCACAGGCGGCGTTAAGCCCGTCAGAGGTCCCTCTTAATTAAATTTGAAAACTGCTGGGATAAGAGGGTTTTCTGAGCCAGTCAGGTGCTGGGCCATGGGCCTGAACGACTGCCACAGACTAGCACTACCACCCACAGTCCTGATCCCCATGACATGTGGGCAGATTATGGAGAAATCCCTCAGCAATGAGGCGGCTTTAACTCCTTCGTGCTCCCGGGGCCTTTGCAGGGATGCCCTGGGATCCCAGGGCTGCAGCAGCCCAGGGTTAGGGACAGGGACACCCTCCATGCCCCCGTGGTGCCAGCTGTGTGCAGCCTGGCCCAGGGAAGTGCCATCTCCAGTGTTTTCTTTGGCTGTGGTGGGGAACAAAAGGAGGAACATCTCATCTCCCAGGCCGGGGCTGCAGCAGAAGAGGGAGGCTTGGGGTCACTGTTCTGCCAAGGAGGGCTGAGTGAAGGAGTGGAACAGTGTCCCCTGGGGAAGGCTCAGTGCAGTGTGAGGGGATGATTGGCTCTCTTGTTGCTTCATGCCATCCGTGTCCAGCTTCCCAGGGAGCTGTGCCTGCTGAACCTGCAAAGCAGGGCCGTGTTCCCTGGGAAATGCAGAATAAATAAAGAAATAGGCCAGTGCTTTAATTCATCCTGCCCCAGACCTGGCTCCTGCCAGCTCCAAGATGTGTCTTCTGTTGCAGTTTCGGGCTCTTTTGGGAAGCCCCTCCTCTGCTCCCACCTGCATGAGGCATCCTGTTTGTGTATCCAGCACGGAGCTCCCACACCACTGCAGAGGGTTTGGGGCTTCCTATAAAAGCAGAAACTTTCTCCATGTCCTCTTGGAGGAAAAAAAAACAAAAAACAACCAAATTTGAGCAGCCCAATCCCTGTCCTTTAGGCACCTGGATTCTGCCTGGGAGGTTTTACAGGGAGTTTTTCCCAACCAGGTGTTCAGAAGCTGTTTGTTCTGTCCCTGTCCCCGGGGCTTTCCCTTTTGTTTTCCAAAACTCAGTGCTTTCCTGGGATGGGTAAGAGCTGGAAAAGGCCAGGCAGGGCTGTGCACATGCAGAAAGACGTGTGGCTGTGCCAGCAGCACCGAGGGCTTTGCCTTTTGTCCCAGCTCCCAGTTCTTGGTCTGATGGCAGCACTCGAAGCAGGAGGCAGCAAGATTAAAAAGCAACACTGCAGCTTGTTGGAGCACATTGGAGGCTCCTTCCAGCCTGGAGTTTTGCTGGAGTCAGGCCTTTTTTTTGGTCTCCTATTAAATCACACGTTCCCAAGGAGCCTTGGAGCCCGGTGCACTGGGCACGTTCCAGAGCTGGGCCAAAACCAACAATTATCTCCAGTTTCAGGAAATTTGAAGCCGTGGTGAACAGTGTCTTCTCAGGGCCTGACAGGTGACACGGGTGGCTGTGGCATTCATCACCTCAGCAGTTGTGCTCTCAGAGTTGCTCAAGACGGGTCTGGTTGAGGTCAGGGGTTCAGGGCTTGGGTTTGAGGGCTCAGGGATGACCTGGCCACGAAGGTTCGATGGTGGAATTCTGTCTCCTCCCCTGGCTCACTGTTGTTCCCCCAGGCACTGGGGAAATCACTCTATTGCTTCCTGCAAAGAAATGGAGGTAGAAAATTTTTATGGGCTGTTACTTTTCTTTACCATTAAGTAAAGGCTGGGGGAACACTTTATTTGCTGAAACGGTGACTTTCATGTTTTCTGCGACTGTTCTGATCAAACAAACATATTGGAAACCCAGGGCTCTGGAAGCCCCTCTGGGGGCAGTCCTGTGTCCATCGCCCCCAGCTCCTCTTGCATTCAAGCTCTGAGGGTTGTGGGGTCGTGAGGAAAACAGGGAATTGTCTTGGCTCAGCGACTGAGCCAGCAGTTTCCCAAGCCCTGTTGGTAGGTCCTGGGATCTGCCAGCCTGGAGAGGGGGGTGTTTGGCACCTCTGCAGGGCTGGCAATCCCAGTCTCTGTTACTCCAGGGGAATGGGATCAATCCCAGTCTCTGTTACTCCAGGGGAATGGGATCAATCCCAGTCTCTGTTACTCCAGGGGAATGGGATCAATCCCAGTCTCTGTTACTCCAGGGGAATGGGATCAGGAGTTGCAGGAGCTCCGCCCCAGATGCCTCCAGCAGGGAGGAAGGATATGTTTTATCAAAGTGAGTCCCTGCTGTTTGAGTTCCTGGTTTGGAGCTTGATATCATCTAAAAACCAACACGGGGAAGTAAACAATGACTCTGGTTTGATTTTAGTCCTCTTTCTCCTGTAATTTAACTTTTTAATTACTCCAAGTGTTGCTGAAACCCTTGGTCCCAATAGAGGCAATGATCTGTTTGTGGGCAGGCTCTGCTGCCAGTCCCTTACTGTGATCCTGCAAAACCCCAAAAGAGGAGGAAATATTTTTCTGAGGCAGCCGAAATGAGTCGTCCTTTGGCTGTTCGCTGTAATAATACCAGGTGTGAAAAAACCCTCCGGTATTTACGAGCAGATGTGATTCAGGAATAATAAAGACCTGAGAACCTGTCACAAGGTCATGTGGATCAATGAATCATCTGCCAGATACGGTGGGTTTGCGAATCAGGCTGGAGCTGATGCTGTTTATATGGTGTTGCCTGGTGGCAGTGGGGACTTTTGGATCCTGAACGAGTCCAAAGTGTTCCCTGGAGGAAGAGAGACCTGGAGGGATTTCACCGGGAAAGAAACCCGAGCTGACAGGAGCCACCTCCGTGCTGCCTGCAGCCTGCAGGAGGAAATTTGTGTTGCTGTTGAGCCGTGCAGAGAAAACAAATATCACCCCCCTGAGCTGCCTGCAAAGGGAGGGACCTCCTGCCCTGGGTGCTGCCAAGGGCAGAGCAGTTAACGTGGCACCCACGTGCCACCCGCTGGGTCTGGGATCTTAGAATGGTGGAAGGGTTTGGGTTGGAAGGGACCTTAAAGCTCATCCCCTTCCACCACCTTCCACTAGCCCAGGTTGCTCCAAGTTGCCTGGGGCACTTCCAGGGATGGGACAGCCCCAGATTCTCTGGGCAGCCTGTGCCAGGGCCTCCCCACCCTCCCAGGGAGGAATTCCTTCCCACCATCCCACCTAAACCTAAGTCCTTAGCCTGTACTAGTAGAGAGGCACTGAAATGCTGTTCCTTGATGTTTCTTCATTTTACACCAGCTGATGGCTGAACCAGGGCTTTGACAAGTTTGCTGTTGCTTTTACAAAATCCTTTCCCTGCTGCTTTGTCCTCCTTTCTGAGGTTTTCCTCCTCTGCTTTCTCCCCTTCCCACTCTGGCTGCTTGAAGTTCAGGGAAAATATGTGCAGCCTTCCCAAGAGAACATCTTGGCAAAGTCAGAACTTGTTAAACACCGTAATTAAAATATTTCTCTCATTAACTTGGAAATAATGTTTCTTCCTAAATTATACAGAAGAATTTTTTTTTTCCCTGCTAATTAAATTGCCAGTTTCAGCAAAACTGCTTCAGAAAATAGAAAATCCTGCAGTGCTGGGGCTGCCCTTTCTGGGTCCCTCAATCAGCTCCCTGCAGCCAGGATCATGAGCAAAACACGTCAGAGGTGATTTTGAGAAGGGTCTGCCCTGGCTGGGTGGTGGGACAGCTCAGAGGTTCGTTATCAGGAGATGTTTTGGGCTGTGTTTGGTCTAGAAATGTCTTCTGGTGTTTCCTGTGTTTCTCGCTGATGTGAATCCCTCGAGGGTCTTGGTCTGGTTTTGTGTTGGGAAGATACAGCTCCTGAGTTGTGCTGCTGGACCCTCATCCCTGTGGGGTGCTCCGGGCTCCCCCAAAACCCCCGGGACCCCTCGGGCTGCACCCCCGAGCCCAGCTCGTTGTGCTCCCCCGGCAGTTCCCTGCTCAGGGCTCCCAGCCCGGTGCTGCTGTCGGGGCGGTGACTGCGGTTCAGGGCAGGGACAGCCCTATGTACACATCACCCTGGCAACATTTAGGTAAAAGCCTCTGAGGAGCACCGGGCTGTTGCCTCTTTGTGGGCTGTTCCCTGCCACACTAGCCCGAGGTGCAGGGAACACCCGAGCTGCTTTAATTATGTGCTTTTGGAAATCTCCACCTTGCGCAGGTTTTTTTTTTTATTTATTTATTTTATATAATTAATTTTTTTTTTTTTTAGCTGTGTCAGTTCCAAAGCCCGTTGCAGATCTGTGCCTGAGATCTCCCAGGGACCGGGCACAGCATCCCCGAGGTGGGGTGTGGGCAGGGTGGACCTGGCTTGGGCTGATGCAAAGTGCCCCAGGGCTCTGGAGCCAGGATGGGTGGCCCTTGGATTGACTGAGTGTATCACCGGGGTTAATCCAGCAGCATCTGGAAACTCTTCTGCGTGAGGCTGCTTGAATGTAGCTCGGGCCAAACCTGTCACAACTGATTTAGTCATTTAGGAATGAAGAAGCTGATCCGACTGGATTAAGTCAACTCACCAGCCCTGGACCTTTCTTTTAGGATGGATGTAGGATCCCAGCCCTCTCCTTTGACTCCCAGGGGAGGCAGAGTGGCTGGAGGGGGTGACTCCCCTGCCTGGTGAGATGTTCCTCCCCAGGGAGCTGGCAGTCCCTGGGACACTGTAGTGAAGGGATGGCATTTATTCCTCTGCTTGTATCATCATTTTTGATGATTTATTTCTGAATGTTCAGGGGGCTTTTTAAAGAGCAAAACCCCTTTAAAAATGGGCTTTTAAAGCCACCTTTTTAAAAGGGGCTTTTCAAGGCCAGGTTGGATGGGGCATTGAGCAGCCTGGTCTAGTGGAAGGTGTCCCTGCCCGTGGCAGGGGGAGTGGAACAGGATGAGTTTTAAGGTCCCTTCCAATCCAAACCAGTCTGGGATTCTGTGATATCAGACCTGGTAGATGGTGGGTGTAGTGAGACTGAACTTCTGTGCTGCTCAGTTGGGCTAGAGAAGGTGTTCAGCTGACCTGCAGTTGGTTAGGAATTCTCAAATAATCATTTTAAACTTTATTCTAAGTGTGCTGATTGGGCCATTAACTTCACAGGGTGTCTGTGTGTGGTGCTTTCTGAGGCTCATCTGAGCTTTGAAACGTTCTTGGGCTCCTGCCTTAAAAACAGGATGCTGTGCTAGACTTTAGCAGTGCACTGGAGTGCAGAGACTCCTGATTTTCGCTTTGCTGCTGGTGGTTTCCAGGATCCCTGGGGAATACTGGGAATGGGGATATTGCCTCCCTCCTGCCAGCACCTTGCAAAACGTGCTTGGTGTTGCTTGTCCCCTTGGGAAAGGAGCAAACCCCTGTGTGCATCTGCCTCGCTGTTGTCTCTTGGGCACTCGGGACGGAGATTTTTCCCGAGAGGTGCTCGGCGGCATCCAAAGATCTCCCGGAGAGGAAACAACGTGCCTGGTCTTGCCTGTCCCGGCTGTTTGCTCCCTGCAGGCAGCCCCTGGCACAGAGCAGCGTGCCCAGTGCCACCAGGGCTCCTGGCCTGGGCATGCAGGGATGGACCAGGGCTTGCTTGTGCCTCGCCGTTCCTGGCGACGTTCCTGCCTCTCCAACGTGTTAAAATCCACGGTGGTGGAGAATATCAGTTAAATCAGCTTTCCCCCCGCCCCACCCCACAGCAGTGCTGCTCCTGCCCCTCTGCATCCACGAGCAATGGGTTTGGGTGGCAACTCTGGATCAGCTGGTGGAATTTGTTGGCTCTGGCGGAGCCATTTTTAGGCAAGATGTTTTTGCAAACCGCGTTTCATCACAAACCCCTGCTGTCAGTCACCTGTAGGCGAATGACTCTCCAAAACCCAGCCCTAGATTGAAGGAAATGATAAGGAGTTCTGCTTGCCTTAAAACCTTTCTCTCTTTTTTTTTTTTTTGGTCTCTTTATTTAATATAACGCTGGGTAAATAACGATTGGCCTCCCGTGGTGCAGAACGGGTGGGGAGGGTCAGCAAGTGGCTTGAAAATGGTTTCGCTTCTGCATTCGATGGCCAAGCCAGAGGTTTCCATCTGCACCCAGGACTGCCTGAGCCACATTCCTCCAGCCTGGGGAGGGTGGGAAGGTGGGTTCTCAAGGGTAGACATGCCCCTGAGCTGGTGTGGGAGCTGTGCCCTGGCTGGAGAGGTGATGGTGGGGGGGATTCCTGGCCACTGCTTCAGTGACGGTGATGGACAGACCCTGCCATCCTTCAGGGCCAGGGGGAAAGGCAGCTGGGATTACACATAGGGAACAGCTCTGATTCTCTGTGGGAATCAGTGGAACAAGGTGAATTTTCCTGCAGCAGGGACCAGCCATGAGCCCCAGCCTGGGGGAGGCTCCTCCTTGGCAGCCTTGCCCTGGCTGTGCAGCTGGAGGTTGTCTTCGCTTGGCCAAAAGATATCAGGGCTTAAACGCTAATTTACATACCTGACATATTGATGGCAGATATTTTAAGGATTGACTCAGTCCAGAAGCAGCACCTGAGCGGGGTGATGGCAAGGGATGGGGTGATGCATCTTTCCAAGAAGGTGTTTGAGGCACGAACACTCCTGGAGACACCCAGGGCTGGAAACAGCTTTCCCACTGGAAAAGAAAGTGTGGGCTTTTTTAATTTGGAGTTTTAATTAAATGCTGGGCCAGTCTGTGAGGAAGGAGGGAGTAAATTCTCCATCCCTTGGAGTCTTTAATGAGAGCAAGCAGCTTTCTGAAAGCCCTGCTGTCATTGCTGATCCAGCTGATCCACGCACAGGGACTCACCGTGGGAGCCACCCCATCCTGGGAGGCTGGGGGTCCATCCTGGGGCCACATCACCCCCATACCATGGGATGGACCGTTATCCAGGCTGCTGTTCTCCAGGAACAGGCTGGTTACACACACAGCCCTTCCCCTCCCCAGCTCCTGTCAGCACCTCTGTTTAACTGCACTGTCACTTTTCTCCTGCTCGTTTCCAAGTGTTTTCTCTGACAGTTGCTTTTTATAATTGTGATATTTTTTTTCCCCCTCCCTCTCTGTTGGTACCTGTTCCAGCCCTGGGGCTCTGAGCTCGGAAATGCATTTGCTGGGGTTTGCCCTGGCCTGTCTCCTACATCATCCCAGGGAGGATGGTGTGTGCATCCCTCTGGCATTTATTACTGGCTGCAGCCTGACTGAGCTCCTTCTGCTTCTTATGGTTTCTGCTCCAAAATTATCTGCCTAAAATAACAGAGCAGCAACTGGGGGGAATGATGCTCTGGCCATGGCACTGGGGGACAAGGTGGGGATGGGGCACAGGGTGGGCTCGATGGTCTTGGAGGTCTTTTCCATCTGAAATGGTTCTGTGAAATTCAATTTGATAGAGGCCAAGACTTGTCACTGTTTAATATCTCCATGTTCCTATTCCCCTTCCCTCATACCACTAAGAGAACATGAGCTTTAGCCACTGCCTGCCTTCAGGTGGCCATTTGGGACACCCCAGTGCCCAACTTTGGAAGGTCTAGAGGAAATTATGCTGAAAATATCTGACTCGTCTCCTCTCCGAAGGGCTGACAGGCTGGATTTACTTCCCAGTGCCCTCAGCTCGTCCCTGTTACTCTCCCTGAGCCCTGTCATGTCATGGTGGGAGCAGAAATGCCACCAGCAGAGCCTCAAAGGTCTCCTGGCTCAGGTGGAACTTCCTCTGTGAGACGTGTTTGATCCCAGCTCCCTCTTTCACAACAACACACCAGTTGAGAATTCCCACCTTTCCTCTTCTCTGGGAATCTTTAGCTATCAGGCAGCTAAGGGCAGGAGGGAATTGTTTCCAGTACAATGTTTTTTTTCCATCTACACCTAATAACATCTTTAGCTGTGTGTAATTAACTCCGAGGTGATGGAGTTGTAATTACCAGCAAGAAGCCTGTGAGAAGGATTGCGTTAATCTTTACCTGGGGAACTTCATTAACCAGGGTGTTCTGGGCTGCTCTGGGATGTGCTGAACTGTCTGCAGTGGTGCTGGGGCTGGCTTGTCCCCAGGGTGTCCCAAGCAGCAGATTGGCTGTGATGCCCTGTTTTGGAGGTTCAGCAGGGCTGACACTGGTCCTCCCCCAGAACTCTGGGTTTCTCTTGGTTCTGCCAGTCTGTGGGTGTCACTGGAGGGGTGGGAAGGAGGGAAGGCCTGTGGTTGACTTGTGGTGGCTGTGCCTCGT